TGTCAGCATTGATTTTCGGTGGCATTGATGCATAAAAATCATTGACTGTTAGTTATATACGCGTGAGTGTATCATACTGTATTAAGCGGAGCTACGATAACAAGACATCGAAAAGAGGTAAGAGTTAGGGTGACTGATGTAGTTACCGTTTGCAAATATGAATGCCATTATGTAGGAACCTTTCGATTGATTTAACTGATGATTTGCTGATTGACTGACGATGAATTTTCTTGGTTTAGCGGCTTTGCATGCATCGTTTGCATAATTGTTGAAACTGTAAGTTATAATTACTGTTAGTATGGAAAATGAGGTTGATAATGGCATCACTGTAATAGTGCTTTAAGTAAAATTTTAATGTTCAAAATAAAAAAAAACTCGTATTTAACTTCTAATGCAATCGTATTTACTCTGTAACTTTAATGTAATTTCTTTTTGAAATGATTTGTAAATTCATTTGTACTTTATTAGATACTTCATTTATATGAATAAAATTAGAATTTCTAGAAATCACTGTTTATACTACAGAAACCTCTTTGAGAGGAAAATAAAACATCAGGTATTTCCTTCTCTTTTCGATTTACGTTGTGTTGCCAGATAAAAATATTTAGTATTATTCCGTTGACGAATATTCCAAAGAATATTCTTATATCATAACCAGAAACTTTCGTATATTTGGCTTGGGCCGTATAAATACAAATTATTGTATAAATATAGTATATGTCTTCTATCATAACTTTTATCAACTTTTTACAAATAGTTATTAATTTACATGCTATTTATTTTAATTACGAACATATAACTTACATCAAGCTTTGCGTCATTATATTAGAAATGACATTATCAGGCATGCTCTGAATTTCGACTTCATTTCAATTCGAAATTCAATTTGAAACGGAATGAACCCGTTTTGGATGCTCCAGAAATCGAATTTTTTTATGCGGATTCGAATTCTAGAGCATGCCAGAATATCTTATATATTCTAAACTTCTTGAACTACGAGTACATGAGCATCATTAAATGTTCAAACCTAGTTCAGCGCGTGAATTAGGCTTAAACATTTATTGATGTCCATACACTCTTAGTTTTGGAAGCTTAGAATATAAAATACACTTTCGTAAATGCATTCTGAAATAATCACATCGTAAAAAATGTTTTTGATGAAAGTTTTGGGCTTACAGAAGTCAAGTATAGGCAACAGTTTTAACTCTGAAAATTTATGGCCACTTTAAATTTCACTTTTGGTAACTTTTCGTACGGGAAACAAGCTAACACCATTTGTTTTAAGGAAGACAAATGAAACCTGGGCGTTGTGCTTGCTACTTCTAGCAAATGTTTGAAAAAAACTGAATTTAGGCAAATAAATAAATTCAGCAAATAGCACTAGAAAAAGTAACATAAGAGGTAAGTCCAAAATGTATTTAACTGAAAACGTATATGGTTTTTGTTTCTATGCACCAACACAAGAATTAGAAATATAGCATTAGGAGTATATGTCTTATGGGTTTACTTTCGCATTATAGAAAGTTCAGCTGAAATGACGTTCGTGTGAGATTTTCAGACTTCACTGTTGACTTTTGCAGTTTTGCTGCAAGCAAGTCGGAGTCACTAGAAATTCATAGACGTCTCCATTTACTCCCCTTTGAAAAATGGTAAAGTAAACAGACTGGCATGAAAAACACCAAGCTTTAAAAAATTAATCAAATAATTGCATTTCACTAATTGTTTTTTCATTAAAATTTTTATTAGCCTTAAAGTCTTAAAGTTTACAAAAGTTTTATGAAGTAGTGGGTGAGGTGTACAAACAGAGATGTTAGAATAATGTGTACAAATATAAATGCTTAATATTATATTGCTTTTAGTAGTAGAAAATAAATTCACTTAAAGTAATTATTAATTCACCCTGAAAGGTTGCATCAATGAAATATAACTTCTGGAACAAAGATTTAACTTCGAAACTGCACGAAAATTATTTCACAAGATACGAATAATGGAAGTTATTCATATAAGCTGCTGGAAATAGCCACAGATTTTGATTATATGAATTTAAATGAATATATCCAGATTTTGAATCCGGATATAAACACAGATTCTTATATATTGATATATAGGATGTTTCTTTTAGAAATTAAGAACAACTAACATAAATTCAGCAAATAACATACAAATTTTATATCTGGATAATGTTAATGAATTTATATAATTTTAAAGAATTTATGACTGACAAAAGATTTTTGACCAAAATCAAAAACCTATTTATAAATAAGTTATTACAAAAACGTTTTAGAAATTGCATGTATCTCGAGATCAAGCCTTGAAGTTTGATTTTAAAATTGAATTCATTGCTGATTTGTCTGCACACACCAAAGACTACAAATACTAACAAAAATTTATACATGCATATAGCCATCCATTCACGCTACAACCTCTTTTCTGGAAATAGCGTATCCATCAAACACGCATTTTTATAAATTTTCGATTTTATCTTTAATACAACAAGTGGTAGCATTTTGCTTAAACCAAAAACTAACCAAAATATGTTTTCTTACTTTTGAAAAAATAGATTATATGTCAAGGCTCTATGCTGAGCGTCCTTAGCGGTGACACTACGATTCTTTACATTTCTTAGGAATGATTTTATTTTTAACATTTTTGAATTTACATCTGAAACTGCTGGATAATTTTCGGGTCCGAAAAATTGTTTAAATATGATAATTTTTTATTTCAAAACTTCTGTACAAAAAAATTAGGTCTTAAGACCTCATTGTAAGGCTATTGTTAATATTTTTGACAAAGTACATATTTTAGATACATTTATACAAGCTAACATTCACGTCGTTTATGTAGTCGTTTAAAACTATCTCGCACAAAGCATCATAACGAATTGTTTATAGCAAATGAAACAGATCGAAAGCTGCATAAACTAATGTGAAGAGATAGGCTGCAGATTATTTAGAGTTAAATTGTTAGAGCAAGAACACAGCAGAAAATGATCTGCTAAATTGCGTTATTTCGAAAGGATTTAATTTGCAATACAGGGTTATGCAATTTATGATTCCAAAATTAAAAGAAAATATACATCTGCAATTGGGATTTTGCAATCCCTAATTTTTATTACTTGTATCCTACTTGATATTCAATTGTCATCCATGTCACATCTTACAATATCAAATTTTCAAATGTTCGAAAGTTCAGGAATTGTCTGTATAAACACGACGTCCTTTGCGTAACCACACAAAAATAATCTGGTGATGATAAATTGTATTATCCTTTATATTCACAAGACCAAAATGTGAAATTACACGATTGGAAAATTTTTCATACAGAAAACCCATAAAACTTTTGAAGTAGATTTCTATCATTTTTACATGTTTATCGGTGCCATACTGTAAATTCAAAAACCTGTAACTAAACATATAATATGATGCTTTGGATGATAATTTTGTTAAAAATAGGTTGTTAAAACATTACTCTCAAATCAGGAACACTAAATCAATAATTCATGCCAAGTGTATACTAGTATAATAAAATTAAAAGATTTAAATTGTAAAAATTTTTAACATGTAAAAATTCATTAAAATTTTAGGACGCCATTTAAGGATGTAATTTATAAAAGCAGTTAACTCAGTGAGAATAAAGGTAAGTGACTTTAATATTTATGAGCTGGCTTATTTTAAATGAGTTCAGAATACGCTCCATTGCTACTAAATTATCATATCAATAGAAAGGAGTCATTAAAAAAGCTTTAAAGGTGATAAAATTAAAACAAAAAACTTTAATACTTTTGTACAGAAGCTAAAAAGTAAACACCTTTTTCATGTGTTGTACTCTGGGGAATTCTACTCCACTCCGCAATCTGGATAGTCATTCCAAACACTATTATCACAACCAACGACACCATGAACTCAAAAAGGAGCATCTCTAAAGTTCTTCCACTTCTGCACTCAGCAGTGCATGAATTTAAAGCTTAAACTGTGATTGTGGATGTGCATAAGTACGAGAATTATTGAAATTATTAATGTCCTTTCCTTTTTTATTACACTAAAAGCATCGGTGAAACTTTGTTTGCTTGACTTTTTAAGGATGTTTTGCGTGAAGACCTTATCTTCAGAATTTGTGTAAAAAATATATTAACGCAACGTTCACTATATTTGCAGTTTTCACACTTTACACTTTTCGCCAGAGTTAAATGCGAAAAGCAAATAATTCAATTTTTACTTCGTGTTAAGTATCTTGTAGTGCAACCAAGCAAAAAGATAATATTTGTCATTGAAGTAGCTACACTTAGATTCTCTGAAGTTATTGAAAAACGTTTTAACTTATAGTTAAAGCATATAAATTGGACCAATTTACTTATTTACTGCAGTTAAGCAGTTATGATTTTTGCCTCAGTATAATAATAAAACAATATAATGTAGAATATAAACATCTATATCAATATATATTCTATCAATATATCTAATAGATAGACATAGATAGATAGATAGATAATAGATAGATAGATAGATAATAGAGAGATATAGATATTATCTATATTCTACATATCTGTATATTCTATGTAGAAGATAGAATATAATATCGAATAATATAATGTATTAAAAATATATAAAGGATATATATATATCTACATATATCTATACACATATATATATATATATATATATATATATATATATATATACATATATATATATACATAGATATAGATATACAGCAGACATTCGAAAACGTGAATACTCTAAAACGTGAACACCCCAAAACGTGAACAACCTTTTCTCATCATTGACTATTCTAAAACATGAACAAGTCAGTAAAGCTCTATAACATGAACAGTAAACCTTACAATTTTTTAATATAGTTTGCATTGATGTCGAATAATTCTGAAATTGGGGAATTCCCTAATAGCAAATTATGCTATTGATTTGTGAATGCATGAAAAATGCAAAATATTTTAGTAACAATTTTGTCTTTACATGAAACGTTTCGTCTTTGGCAAGGTAAATATGAGTGCGAAAAAACCTGTGTGCTTGACATTAAAAAAAAAAGCTGAAATTCTCGATTTCTTACAAAAGGGGTCGAGTGTGACATACTTAGCAAAGAAATATAATGTTGCTAAATCAACAATTTGTGGCATTAAAGCGAAAAGAAACGTGATTTTAAAATGCGTAAACAACACATTTTCTGGGCCTGGAAAAAGAAAAACCCTGCGTACTTCAGAGCTGCCCAAAATGGAGAAATCTCTTTATCGTTGGTTTCTCTGTATGCGAAATAAGAACTGGCCAGTAAGTGCTCTAATGCTGAAAGAAAAAGCCAAGAAACTGCATTCAAAATTTAAGGAAAAGGAAGGTGACTTTTATGCTAGTGATGGATGGTTTCAAGGATTCAAAAAAAGATACGGTATTCGACTTCTGCAAATATCTGGCGAAAAACTGTCTTCGCAGTCTCAGTTAGTGGACCCGTTTAAAGAAAAACTTAAAGATAAAATTGCTGAATTCGAATTGTGTAACGATCAGCTATATAATGCTGATGAGTCCGGCTTATTTTGGAAACTTCTGCCAGAAAAAACGTACGTGTCCACTTTAGAAAAGAGAGCCCCAGGCGTAAAGTCGGAGAAGCAGCGAATCACTTTCTTGTGTTGCTCAAACGCCACCGGATCTCATAAACTCAAACTTTTGGTAATTGGAAAGGCGAAAAACCCACGATGCTTTAAAAACCTCCAGTGTCCTACCAACTATAAAAACTCAAAGTCCGCCTGGATGACGGCGACTATTTTCAAAGAATGGTTTCATCAATCATTCGTTCCTCAGGTAGGGATTCTTCCTTTTGAATGCTGTATAAATTTTCCTAAAATTTGTCGCTTTTTAAGGTGAAATCATTTTTAAAAGAGAAAAACTTGCCAATTAAAGCTCTTCTTCTAATCGACAATGCTCCTTCCCATCCAAATGAGGCTGAACTGACAACGGAAGATGGGCAAATATTCGCAATGTTTATGCCACCAAACGTTACTCCCCTCATTCAACCGATGGATCAGAATGCAATAAAAATCACGAAGTTATACTACAGAAATAGCCTTCTTGCTTCAATAGCAGCAACGCAATCTGACTTGCTCGAGTCTATGAAGAAAATAACATTAAAAAGTGCTATAAATTTTTTGGAAGCCGCTTGGAGTCGTGTCGGCAAAGAAATTCTGTCTAAGTGCTGGAAAAATATTTTAAATTTTACTGTGAATGATGATGACCCCGAAGATAGTATGCCTTTGGCGATTTTAAAAGAAAAATGGGAAACTGAACTTCGCTCCTTGATGTGCAACACCGCCGATCTTCTTAACAGTTTAAATGCTGAGGTTTGTTCGATAGCGCAGATATGTACAAAGATATGTGAGTTATTGAAAATTTTGTTCTTATCAACAATTTCAGAGTGAATTTACGTTATCAAATGTTAAGGAATGGAACGAAGATATTGATGAAGATAATGCGCATGATGATATTGGACATGAGGACGAACCTGACGAAGACTGCATCTCAGAGGCATCGGTGAAAATTATACCAAGTGAAGCAGTTGAAATTTTCAACAAAGCAATACAGTGGGCCAGTCACGAAGGCGTCGATCAAAAGGATATGAATGTACTTAGACGTCTAAGGGAGAATGCTGTGTTTCAAGTGTTAGAAAGAAAGAAGACCCAAAACAAAATGACTGATTTTTTTAAATAAAAAGTTTTATATATGTATCTTTAGTATAAATTAATATGTACACAAAAAAAGAAACAAAATGTGAATTTATATGTGTAAATATGTGTTTACTTTATTCTTGTTTGACACTCGAAAACTTGAACAATTTGAATACGTGAACTGTCTTGGTTTTAATTAGTTCACGTTTTCGAATGTTTACTGTATATATATAGATATATATAGATATAATATCTCTATCTATAAAATATAATATAGAACAGTATAATATATAAAAAATATTCTAATTTCTATTAGTTAAAGAAAATTAAAATAAATAGATAGTGAAACTGAGATTTCTGATTCTCAATATAAAAACTCGTAAAGTAACTATCATATTATTCACTAATAAATATGTATCATTTTATTAAAAAGTTTATATTCACACTGCTTTCTAAGCTTAATTCTATATATTAGCAGCAGAAGTAAATCTTCAAAGTAATTTGCAGTAATTTTAAAGTATCATGTAGTCAAATACTCATCGTGAATATATGCCAGTTTGAAAATCAAAAAAAAAAATAAATTTCTTTATCATCTGTGAAAACTATTGTTCGAATAATTAAAGGAAATCATTCAAATTCCATTGTCATACGTACTTTACAACGATACTCTTCATATTTGTAATTATGGTAATACAAAGAATTTAGATTTGTAGTATGTATTCTTGTTTGAAGATGATTGCTTGCCAGTTATATTTTACAGTAGATTGTGCTGAGAAATCTTGATGAGTCCATGATTTGAGTTCGTACTTGACATCCATACTGACCAAAACTTTGCAAGAATTTTATGTTCGAATGCGACTATGTTTCGAACATAGTCGTTGCATTTCAATTTTTTCATTTTTTTTTTGTGTTACTGAAAAGACAAAAAAACTACATACAATAGTGTATGTAGTGTAGATACTAGGTTAGACTGCTTTTATTGGAAATTGTTTGCATTACGAAAAAAAATGTTTATTTACTAGGTTCGAAAACTCTTCAAAACACATGTTTAGTAAAAAATCAATAAATAGCCCACCAACAATTTACCAAAAATGCTTATATCATTAACTTTAACACAAATAATGGTACAGATCTCTTCATAGATTATTACTGGCAGGCTCCGAAATTTATTGCTTTATACTGTTTTCACCTCAAAATTTTGTGTGTGGTTTTTTTACATATAAGTTCTTTGTACTTATTTTTTATAGAATCTTTATTTAATTATCATTTTAAAATAAATAATTTTTTTTTTGAATATATTGATTTTTTGTTGATACTTTTGGACATTTTTTGGCAGCGATAAAAACTCCACCACACAATTATATTGATTTCACCACACAATTGTACGGATTCCCCGCACCTACTACATTAAAAAACCACCCCTGCAATGATGCTTTTAGGTGTGACAGATATCAAAAAAGCATTTGTGGCGGTTGCATATTCACATGATCTAGGTTGGCCATGCAAATTCGGACAAATAAATTATTGAAAATAAGATGAGTTGGTTATGAAAAGAAAATTTTTTAAAAAACTAATGATATTTTTATGGAGAAAAAAAGAAGGTTGTCATTCTTTTGACGGTTTGTTTTAATAAATAAATAAAATTAAATTAAGTAGGATAAGCCTACAATTGGCGACCCCGACGTGATCGAAAATGTCGCAAGTAGAAGCAAGCAACAATAGCGCACTGGATAGAAATAACATTCCTGCAGATAGTAATGTATCAAATAATTACAGAAACGAACAACCTCGAGGTGACATTTGTCGTATCGGAATCAAAGCACCAGCATTCTGTAAGAGGGATCCAGACCTCTGCTTCATCCAGATGGAATCTCAATTCAGAAACGCACGAATTACAACTGACCAAACCAAATATGATCATGTAGTCGGCAGTCTTGACAGCGCTACCTTAAGAAATATCGCGGACATTGTTCGTGCTCCCTCTGCTGTAGAAAAATACGAAGCGGTTAAGAAGCGACTAATTCAAGACTTTGCAGACTCCGAAAATCGAAAACTGCGGCGACTAGTTCAGGAGTGCCAGTTAGGTGATAGCAAGCCAACACATTTGTTGCACACCATGCGCGATTTAGCCAGCGGCGCCATGAATGATGGAGCAATAAAACAATTGTGGCTGGATCGTTTGCCTGAAGCAGTGCGAGCAGTCGTTTCAATTTCGGAGGCTGACTTAGACAAATGTGCGCAGCAGGCAGATCTGATGTTGGAAATGGGAAACTACAATTCTGTAGCTGTTATCAACACATCTGCACAGAATAATGATCATATCATGAAAGCCATAGACGCCTTGAGTAAGCAGGTTGCGGAGATAAAAACTGCACAAAGACGAAGCAGAACGAGATCTCAAACTTCAGATCGCAAGCGACGTCGTTCGCTCCGTACCGAAGAAGTCCAATTTGTAAATACGTCTAGCCGCCTGTTCATCACGGATCGAAACACACAATTCAAGTTCCTGATAGATACTGGAGCTGATCTCTCAATACTACCAGTGTCTCGATTCAAAAACTCCAAGCTACAATCAACATCGCGATCATTGTATGCAGCGAATGGTTCGGCTATTCCAACCTACGGTAACAAGTTGCCGTCAATGAACTTGGGCCTTCGTAGGAAGTTCGATTGGAATTTTATAATCGCCAATGTTTCAAAACCAATTTTGGGTGCCGATTTCTTGAAACATTACGGTCTTATAGTAGATGTAAAACGTAGATGCCTGAGCGATACGCAAACAAAGTTGAGTACCCAATGTGCATCGGAACACACTGGATATGAGCCAGTCTTTTCCATTCAGAATGATCATAAATTCAAAGAGCTACTAAACTCATTCAAGGAGGTGACAATGCCTGTTTCATACAATTACAATAACGAGCCTAAGACTACGGTTCGCCATCAGATTATCACCACTGGTCAGCCTGTATTCTTGCGTGCACGGCGGCTAAATCCGCAAAAACTGCAAGCAGCCAAGCAGGAGTTTGAGTATATGTTGAAGCAAGGAATTTGTAGACCATCCAAGAGTGAATGGGCGAGTCCACTAAATATGGTGCAAAAAGGAAATGGTTTGTGGCGACCTTGTGGCGATTACCGTCGACTTAATGCCCAAACAGTTCCTGACCGCTATCCTATTCCACACATGCAAGATTTCACGCATTCGCTAAATGGAAAACGCATTTTTACAACGTTGGATTTAGAAAAGGCGTACTTTAATATACCGGTTGCTGAAGAGGATAGAGAAAAAAACAGCAATAATTACACCTTTCGGCCTGTACGAATTTAATGTGATGACTTTTGGAGTTTATAATGCAGCACAATCATTTCAAAGGTTCATGGACCAAGTTCTTTTCGGACTTAAGTTTGCTATATGTTATATTGATGATATTTGCGTCGCATCCGATAACATAAACGAGCACATACAACATGTGCGCAGCGTGCTACAACGTCTCCAGGAACATGGTTTGAAAATAAACATTGCAAAATGTGTGTTCGCAGAGGAAGAAGTAACATTTCTTGGTCATCTCATTAATCATAAAGGAATTCGTCCCCCAGGCAAGAAAATTGAGACGATTGCAAATTTTCCAAAACCAAAGGTAGTGCATGAGCTACGGCGATTCATTGCAATTATCAATTTTTATCGACGTTTTATTCCAAAAGCGGCGGAGATCCAGGGACGGCTTCAGAAATTAATTAAGGGTAACAAAAAACAGGACAAAACTGTTATTGAATGGACCTCGGATGCAGATAACGCATTTGCGGAATACAAAGAAGCCTTAATTAATGCAACAACAATCGTTCATCCAATTCCAGACGCAAACCTTGTACTTCACGTGGATGCCAGTAACGTAGCTGTTGGCGCTGCATTAAATCAAATAAATAACGGACAACTCGAGCCTTTGGGGTTTTACTCAAAGCGGTTGACGAATACTCAAGTCAAGTACAGCACGTACGACCGTGAGTTGCTCGCGATTTACCAATCGGTTTAATATTTCAAACATGCGATTGAAGGTAGACGTTGCACTATTTTCACTGATCATAAGCCGATAACGTATGCATTTCGACAGAAACCGGAAAAGGCATCGCCACGCCAACTAAGACATTTAGATTACATCGGTCAATTCACAACTGACATTATGCATATAGCTGGTAAGAATAATCCGGTAGCTGATTTTCTGTCACGTATCGAAGCTGTCAGCAATGAAGATTTAGTTGACTTTGATCAATTAGCAGAAAGCCAGAAAACCGACATTGAAACAAATGGTTTTCTGTCTAAAACGAATAAATCTGCACTTCAACTGAAATGGATACTCATTCCAAATTCATCTAAGGAAATTGCATGTGATGTATCATCAAATCGTGTGCGTCCTTTTGTAACTGAACAGTTTAGACAACGCGTCTTTAATTCAATACATAATTTAGCACATGCTGGTCGGCGAGCCACTATTAAGCAAATAGCAGAACGTTTCGTATGGCCGGGCATGGCAAAAGACATCGCGGAGCGTGTTAAATTATGTCTTCCGTGCCAACGAGCAAAAGTCACGCAACATAATAGATCAGCAATTTTGAATTTTGACGTACCAAATGAGCGGTTCGCTGTAATCCACATTGACCTCATTGGGCCTCTACCATCGTCAAACGGTTACCGATATTGCCTTACATGTATCGATCGGTTTACCAGATGGCCAGCGGTAGTCCCTATCTAGGATATACATGCCAGCACGGTAGCCACAGCGCTCATCAATGGTTGGATCATGCACTTTGGCGTTCCGAAGCAGATCATAACAGATCAAGGAAGACAGTTCGAGTCAGCACTGTTTAATGAATAAGCGAAACTCATTCGTGCCAAACATATCCGAACTAGACCACGTCATCCTCAAGCAAATGGTTTGATTGAACGTTTTCATCGGACTCTGAAAACTGCAATGAAATGTAAGCATGAACATCAATGGTCTGATGCAATACCTTTGATTGTGTTAGCGCTTCGAAATATCTTTAAAGAAG